TCTCGAAAGACGCCATTCAATTTATTTTTAAATAGTCTTTAGTTTAAATTCTCTTTAATTTACATTAGAAATGTACTATTTGCCATGCAGTCAGAAGTAGGTGGATGTGGAGGGAGGGCATTCTAGAAAGCATTTGATTGGACAGCATGATCGAGTGTTGATGATAAGTCAACAATGGTTTTGTTTTCCAGGAAGAGAATGAAAATACACTATAAAGTATCTGCTAAAATGTTACTCATTTGACCTCACAGCTAACTGCACTGAAGGCTTCAAATCTTGATTCCATGAAAACATCTAATGGTGCTGAATGTACCATCTACACCACCTACATCCCGCTGCGGTCTGTTATAAGAAATCAGCTTCGTGTTACTGAATAGTTACTGATAGAACGAGTTTGGAAGATCCACATTTTGGTTTACACCATCTTGATCAAAAGTACTTTTTCTGATAAACTGAGTCCAGAATTTAGTGTTATAGTGTATAGAAAATAGTGTTTTCCTTCACTCTCAATACCAAGAAGAACCAAAAAGAGGTTTTTGCAGTAATGCCATAGAACCATTCTGGTTACCCAAAGAATATATATATTTTTTTTTTTTTTTGGTGTTGAAGGTTCGTTATGCAACCATAAATGCTGGCAAAGAACCTTTATTTTTCAGTGTTGATCATTGTTTAGTAGGTACAAGCATGACATTCTCCTGTCAACACTTATAATGCACATACTGTATAATTAGTATTGTGGCTTTAGCTTCAAAACGCTATTTTTACTTCTTCTTTTTTTTCCACAAAAACTGATGGACATTATTTTCTGTGTTGATCGATAGTATGATGCTGTTGACGGTGCATGAGTTCTATTTAACATGAAACATCAATGAAAATTGCATGACGATAACAAACTCTTGTCAAAGTTATTGCTTTCTATTCGACTAGAGTTATCTGCTTTTAGACAACAATTGATTAAATAAAAATTATAACATGAATTGAGTTCAACTGAGTCAGCGAGTCATCTAAGGCTGAATAAAACGGGTGAAGCAAGATTATAAGAGGAAGACAGTGGACACAAAACCAAACTTTCTATCTTAGATGAGATGAAGACATCTGCATTGTTAGAACAGGAAAAAATTAGCAGTATTTGTTAAAGATTATGTCTGCTTTTGATTTGACAAAATGTTCCCGTAGGGGAATGACACGATGGAGAGAATTCGATGATCTTCATCATATTGATGAACTGGAGGAAGCTGGATCCACGAACACTGAAGATCCTCCTAAAGGTTCAGTTTCTTTAAATTGTGTCACAGTTGGTGCAGTCAATATTTGATGGAATTAGCACTCTGGCAACACATGCCGATTACTTGAAATTATGTAGTTTGATTACTGCATTAAAAAAAGGCCTTGCACCTTTAATCAACACAATTCTACATTACTCTTTAAGACTACATAGAATACGAGAGCAAGACGTTAAGACCTTCCAGACCTGTGCCGATGGGCGAAGAAAGATCAAATCTGATCCGTACCATGAGTGATGCCTCGCTGGTGAAAATGAGGGTGAAGAGTAAAAAGATGGTAGAAAGTCAGAAGAACAGAAACCATCGCTTCTCCATCAACGGACACTTCTACAACTACAAGGTCCCACATGTTAACCTTAAAGGAACACTCCACTATTTTTGAAAATAGGCTCATTTTCCAACTCCCCTAGAGTTAAACAGTTGAGTTTTACCGTTTTCGAATCCATTCAGTCGATCTCCGGGTCTGGCGGTAGCACTTTTAGCTTAGCTTAGCATAGATCATTGAATCTGATTAGACCGTTAGCATCTCGCTCAAAAATGACCAAAAAGTTTCTATATTTTTCCTATTTAAAACTTGACTCTTCTGTAGTTACATCGTGTACTAAGACCGACGGAAAATTAAAAGTTGTGATTTTCTAGGCCGATATGGCTAGGAACTATACTCTCATTCCGGCGTAATAATCAAGGAACTTTGCTGCCGTACCGTGGGTGCAGCAGGCGCAATGATATTACGCAGCACCTGAAAATAGTCCCCAGCTAGGTAACTTCCAACGTGACCGGCACTAAGTTTGTGTAGTTGGTTATGTTGAAGAAAGTTAGCCTATTTTCAGGTGCTGCGTAATATCAATATCATCAAGTTCCTTGATTATTACGCCGGAATGATAGTATAGTTCCTAGCCATATCGGCCTAGAAAATTGCAACTTTTCGTTTTCCGTCGGTCTTAGTACACGATGTAACTACAGAAGAGTCAAGTTTTAAATAGGAAAAATATAGAAACTTTTTGGTCATTTTTGAGCGAGATGCTAACGGTCTAATCAGATTCAATTATCTATGCTAAGCTACAGCTAAAAGTGCTACCGCCAGACCCGGAGATCGACTGAATGGATTCGAAAACGGTAAAACTCAACTGTTTAACTCTAGGGGAGTTGGAAGATGAGGCTATTTTCAAAAATAGTGGAGTGTTCCTTTAAAGCCTAATGAACATTATCGATAATTATTATGAGGCCGTGACAGGCATAGGAGTACAAAATATAGTTAATAACTTCTGAGAATCAATAAATCAATCAATCTGTAAATGTGTTAGAATTACTGATATCACAAGTGTGAGACGCTGCACTGCCATCTATCGATGTGATTTACCATGAATGTCTCTAAATTGTATGGAAATCTGATTCTAGTAAGTTTTAGAGAGCGTTTTTTACAATTAATTCCTTTACCTGACTTTACCGTCACTGCTCAGGATTTACTGTGTAATTGGGCTACTTTTAAACTGTTGCCGTTGGCTGTTTTTAGCCTGCGGAAAAAAAAAAAAAAAAAAAAAAACACAATTGGGCTGGTTTTGTTTTGCAGATCTGACAACCAAGACCACAGGTCACGTCATTTCAACATGGCAAAATATATTGAGAAGTGACCCGCACCATGTAGAATTAAAAAACTTTGTATAGGAAACTATTAGAATGTGATTTTAGGGTTATGTAAGGCAGAACAAGTTCTCATTAATCATCATTAATTCACCCTCATGTTCAAACTTACTTTCTTGGAATACAAAAGGGGGAATTCTGAACACTTTTTTGGTCATTTTTTCCATACAACAAATACAGCTACAATGGATGGGGACTTAAGTTATTATATTAGTTTTATGAGTCTTTTTAATAGTTAGTTTTATAGTCATTTTGTTTTTGCAGACATCTATTTTCACACCATCATTTGGCGCAACCACAAATGTGCACATTAACAGCGAGATGACAACACAAGAGGTCATTACACAGCTGCTTCAGAAATTTAAAGTAGGTATTATTATTTTCAATTCAATGCATAAGCCCTATAAGGATTATTTAACCCGCTGGTATTGTTCATTTGGGAGTCAAACTTGCGGTCAAAAGTTAAATCAATGTAATATATTTTTGTTCAATAATATTTTTCCTTTTTTTATTTTGTATTTTGAGAGAATTTCATGGTACTATTTAATATTTATGCAATAATTATGATAATTTTTTCCCATTGAAAATAATAGAAAAATGTCGGTGCGTCTGTTTTGCACTCTTAATATTTTAGAGTGTCACCCCTTCATTGCTGTGCACTTTTTTTCTGCATCATGAATGATACACACTTTTTGTGTATTTCCCATTAATTTCCAATAGTGGTCATATTTGACCATGAACAACACAAGTGTGATTTTTTTTTTTCCCGACCATTTCGCTTTTTCGAATCAAGCCCACAATTTATTTATTTTTTATTTTTTTTTTTTTGTGGTCACATAATGACTGCCATAAAATTCAGCAAGTTTCGTACCATTTTTAAAATTTCACAACATTTTTTTTTTTTTCCGCATCTACAATGACCGAACAATAAGTATGGTTAAGTATGTTTTCTTCACTGATTATTTCCACCCTCAATTTTGATAGACAAATTCATTTTTTTTCCTTTCTTTCTTTTTTTTATGCAGATAGAAAACAGTCCACATGAATTTGCCCTCTACTGCATTCATCAAATTGGAGGTATGTAGAATTATCGATTCACCCATAGCTTAAAGCTTCATTCAGTTCTGATTTTAGAAGTAGTTTCATTTCCAAACATAAGACCCCTTTTTTGTTTTGCATGCATTATGCCATGATTCCATCGTTGTTCCAAGATCCAAGAGTCTAGACTTTGCTTAAGTTTACAGAGTCCCATTTCTGACCATTCTATCCGTTGTTCGTAGAGAAGCGGAGGTTGAGCAGTTCAGATCTGCCATTATTGGAGCGTGTTCTACAGGGACCATCAAACAGCATCATGAAAATGTTCCTCATGGATGCAGACGAACAGGAAATTAGCCTTGATGTAAGTCTAGCTCTTCAGACATTACAGAAATGTGTTTCCTACACAAATAAAACTAATGTCCCACTTCCACTGATTTTAATAGGTAGCTCAGTACCTCAATTTAGAGATGCCCATTTTGAAGGTAATCCTGCAGAAGCTGGAAGAGCAAGAGAATCAAGAAGTACAAAGAATAATCGCAAAGTAAGTCTAGAGTACTTTATGAAAAACAAAACATGTTTTTGGCAATTACTGCATTTGTTTTATTATATTAACATAGATATGTTTTATACTTATGAACAATTGTGTTATATGAAAGGCTTTAATGTATGTTTATCATATATAGATATCAAAAGGAACGGAGTCTCTTGTTGCAGTGCTTGAAAAAAAAGATGCCGGTTAAAACGGAGACAACTGTATAAATGAAGACTTGGCAACGGGAAACTGTTTCCAACTGTTGTGACGACAACCACAGAGTAAAAAGAGAAATGGAAAATAAAATGGAAATTGAGCCTTCAGGACTAGAAGCCAGGAATCAGGAGTGCGAGATGTTCATACAGGATTTTGATTTTATATATATAACATTTAAGCTTTACTGTTAAGTTTGTGGTGATGCTGTATATAATGTAAAATAGTTTTGTGGTCACATAATGACTGCCATAAAATTCAGCAAGTTTCGTACCATTTTTAAAATTTCACAACATTTTTTTTTTTTTCCGCATCTACAATGACCGAACAATAAGTATGGTTAAGTATGTTTTCTTCACTGATTATTTCCACCCTCAATTTTGATAGACAAATTCATTTTTTTTCCTTTCTTTCTTTTTTTTATGCAGATAGAAAACAGTCCACATGAATTTGCCCTCTACTGCATTCATCAAATTGGAGGTATGTAGAATTATCGATTCACCCATAGCTTAAAGCTTCATTCAGTTCTGATTTTAGAAGTAGTTTCATTTCCAAACATAAGACCCCTTTTTTGTTTTGCATGCATTATGCCATGATTCCATCGTTGTTCCAAGATCCAAGAGTCTAGACTTTGCTTAAGTTTACAGAGTCCCATTTCTGACCATTCTATCCGTTGTTCGTAGAGAAGCGGAGGTTGAGCAGTTCAGATCTGCCATTATTGGAGCGTGTTCTACAGGGACCATCAAACAGCATCATGAAAATGTTCCTCATGGATGCAGACGAACAGGAAATTAGCCTTGATGTAAGTCTAGCTCTTCAGACATTACAGAAATGTGTTTCCTACACAAATAAAACTAATGTCCCACTTCCACTGATTTTAATAGGTAGCTCAGTACCTCAATTTAGAGATGCCCATTTTGAAGGTAATCCTGCAGAAGCTGGAAGAGCAAGAGAATCAAGAAGTACAAAGAATAATCGCAAAGTAAGTCTAGAGTACTTTATGAAAAACAAAACATGTTTTTGGCAATTACTGCATTTGTTTTATTATATTAACATAGATATGTTTTATACTTATGAACAATTGTGTTATATGAAAGGCTTTAATGTATGTTTATCATATATAGATATCAAAAGGAACGGAGTCTCTTGTTGCAGTGCTTGAAAAAAAAGATGCCGGTTAAAACGGAGACAACTGTATAAATGAAGACTTGGCAACGGGAAACTGTTTCCAACTGTTGTGACGACAACCACAGAGTAAAAAGAGAAATGGAAAATAAAATGGAAATTGAGCCTTCAGGACTAGAAGCCAGGAATCAGGAGTGCGAGATGTTCATACAGGATTTTGATTTTATATATATAACATTTAAGCTTTACTGTTAAGTTTGTGGTGATGCTGTATATAATGTAAAATAGTTTTCACATAAATGTAATTACAATATTTATCATGTGAGGAAACTAAATAAAATACTGATATTTGATTGGCAGTTTATTTGTGGATTAACTGTTGCTCTATGGCTATACATATATACTGTGGTTTACTCTCAAGGTTTTTTTGTTCTTGGAAATGTTATAAACAAGTTTCTGTTTAAATAAGTTCCAACTGGCTTACTGTAGCATTCTGGAAAGTGTCTGTCAACGGGAGATTCTAAACTCAAAAACATTTCAATCATTTAAAACCACGATTTCATTACATAATTATTTATAATTATCATTACATAATTTGCGTTTGAATAGTCTTATGAATAAATAATAATCTCACTTTACTATAACATTCTTATCTTTAAAAAAAAAAAATAATAATAATAATTCTGGGTATTTAACAAAATAAAATTCCTTTCAAATGGAGTTTTTTTTTTTCTATCAACATTTAAAAAAAAAAAAAAAAAGATTTCCATTTTGGATAAACTCTATATTAGGAAAAAATAAAATAAAATGTCAAGATAAAGAATATGTGGTCCGCTATATATCCAAAAGTACAAAACTGTAGCAACTTGGAGTCCATGTGGAATTCAAGCAGATCTTCTGCAGGACATCTTCTGCACCTCATGCTCATCAGTCATTATGTCAAGGGTCACCTCAAACTTACATGCCAGTTGCTAAACAAAAAAACAAAAAAAACAAAGTCAAAGATATAAAAAGTACAGTAATTGTAGTATGCATGTGTAGTTTTTTTTTTTTTTTTTTCCCTTTTGGCTAC